AAGAGATGAGAAACTGTCTGATTGCAATTATGACATAACACAATGTAGATCAACATCAATCCCACGCCTTATAAGAAAGTCTGCAATTTTAAGTCCTCCCATTAACGCCAATCAGCAGTAGGAGGAGAAACGTAAGGCGAAACGTTTGTGCCATATAAATTGATGCCAAGAGATAGAAATATGATCCCTGTAAAAGAAACCTTGAAAATCACTGAAACCTCCTCTATTGACATTGTCCCAAAGCAAGCAAAAGGGATCAGGAGAATTCACAGGAATGGCGTTTACAGACTGAAGGAGTGTAATTGGTAGGCCAGCAGGTAAATCCCAACCGTGAGATTTGAGAATAGCAGTATTCTTAGAGTTGGTAGGGAAGAGATTAAGAATAGGTTGCAATTCATTAATCTCCTTTAATAATTTCATGTAAACCTAATAGGGAGATGGGGGAGGTATGCTTAACTTTAAAGTGAAATTTTTCTTTAGCAGTGGAGGCATCTTTGCATAAGTTTTTCCATAATGAAGAGGCAGTAGCAGGAGGCGGTCTCCATGGTGAGGTATACTTATGTAAAATCCGCTTAGAAATGGGGGAATCAAAATTATAAATCCTTCCAATAAGAGAAGGATTGTAACTAAATTGAATGGCTTGAAAAGAGGGGAGGCCTAGCCCACCAAGAGTTTTGGGCTTGCAAGTATTCTTCCATGATATAAAGTGCAATTTTGAGTTTCCTCACATTAGTTTTCCCAAAATATAGAAACTTGACACTAATTTTTTTCAATTTGTTTAATAATGGTTCTATGCATAATGGATCCATGAATCCAATAGGCAATAGTATTCCAAATAGTGAATCGAAAGTACTGATATCTGCCAGCAAATGAAAGTGCTTTAGCTTTTCAACCCGAAAATTTATGTGTGATTGTCTCCATAAGGTTGTAGAAATCAGCAACCTTAGGCTTATAGGAAGAAATGAGAATACAAAGGTAAGTGATGTTTAGAGAAGATGAAGAGATGTTTAGGATGGAGCAAATATTATTGGCATTATGACAATTGGGTGGTATGATAAGGGAGCTCTTTTCATAATTGACGTGGAGACCCTATGCTGCCGGAAAAAGGTCCAAAAGCTGGCATAAATTCATGCAGTTTTGGCCAAGAGCTTTACCAAAAATCAGTAGATCATCCGCATACATTAGGTGAAAGAGATGATTCCCATCCACTTGTGAAGCATAAAAAATGTGTGCATTGGAGGGACAATCCAGGAAACAAGAAAAAGCATCCATGACAATGCTAAACAGGTAAGGTCTAAGCGGACATCCTTTTCTAAGTCCAGCCGAGGAGGGGAAGAAACCTTCAAGAGCCCCGCCAATGCACAAAGAGAACCGGACATCAGAAATGTATGCTTCAATCCACTTAATAAAGGTGTTAGTGAAACCTTTTTGTGCAAGCATTGCTATAAGAAATTCTCTAAATACACTATCAAAGGCCTTTTTAATATCCAGCTTAATACGCATAATTTTTTGCATGGCAGAAGTTCTAGAAAGATGTAGCAATTCCTTAACCAAAATGATGTTATCCGTGGAGAATCTTTGGTGAATAAACCAAGTTTGATTCCCCTTGATGATATGGGGCATAATAGGCTTGAGCCTGGTTGCCAAAACTCTTGAAATAATTTTGTTAATGGTGTTACAAATAGAGATTGGCCTAAAGTCAGATAGCATGGCAGCATGATTATTTTTTGGAATCAGAGTGAGGGAGGTGGCCTTAGTTGCACGAGGAATGTAGGAGTTATGATAAAAGGATTTTATAGCTCTACAGACCGAGGGACCAATGAGAAACCAAGTAGATTTATAAAAATCAAAGTTGAAATCGTCTGGACCAGGGGAAGAATTAGAAGCTCCAGAGAAGACCGCATTTTTTATTTCAGTGTCAGAGAAGGGCATTGTAAGGGAGACATGTAAGGTGGGGGGTAAAACATCAATCACTAGGAAATAGGTTAATGTCAATAGGCTTCCATGAGGGGGGGTTGAAGTGGGTATGAAAATGCTCATTGCTCAATGATGATCTTACTCGCGTCGACATAAGAGGAACTAGACTTGGTTAATGAGATAGTAGTTTTCCTGTAATTTCTCCTCATGCGGATTTTGGAGAATAGAAACTTAAGGTCATCTTCTCCTTGAGAAAGCCACTTGGTTTTTACTCTTTTAGTGATCCAGGATGTCCAGTGAGAGGTGATTTCAGAAATTTGGAGGTTAATATTTTTAAGAGTCAGGGAAGTGCTCTCATTAGTGCCCATGCTCAAGCTATTGAGGAATTCTGCTTGCTTTTGGTGAAGGTACTCTAGCTGCTTAGCCATCGAACTTGAATTAGCCCAATCTTGACCTTTAATGCCTAATTTAAGCTCTTTCAGCTTGTGGCAAAGATCCACCAGAGGATGCCCAGACAACTTTATAGAAAAAATTGGGATCATCAGTTTCCAAAAATGATCAATATTTGCCCAATACATTTTGTAAAGGAATCTATGATGTGAATTAATGTTTTCCCCGGGTTGCAGCACAATAGGACAATGGTTTGAAGAAGGATTTTTACCACATAATGGGAATTGGGAAAAACTTCCAGCCACACGTCATTGACCAAAACACGATCTAACTTGATATGTATTGGATTGTCTGTTCTCTGATTGTACCAAGTATAGGGGAAACCCACATAGGCCAATTTTTTAAGACTAGTATAAAAAAATGAGAGAGTTGAAATCATGCAACTGATTCTACTGTAAGGTGTTTCCTCCAAACTTGTTTGATGTGTACCAGCAGCAATTAAAGTCTCCCAAAATAATCTAAGGGAAGTTTGAAGTAGGAGCTATATATCTTAAATCATCCCAAAGAGCCTTCCTGTCCTCTATATTATTAGAGGGATAAATCGCACAAAGAAGGAATTGTCTGTAAGAACCAAAGGAAACAATACCAGCAATCATTTGAGATGAGATGAAGGTAGAGTTGAAAGTTAGCCTGTCAGAGGACCATTTCAACCAAATTCTGCCAGAGTTAGAGCAGTGAAAGTTATTGCAGCTATTCTCCATATAAAAATTTAGGTTGCTGTTGAGAAATCTTGAATATTAGAGGGATAAAATGTACTCTATTTTCGAGAATACAAATCATATCAAGTCCAAGGGCACATACCAAGTGTTTGCAGCTGAGAACCTTATCAGAGGAAAAAAAACCCTTGATATTCCAGGCAACAATGGTGGGATTGATCATTTGGATTTGGAAGTGGAGGGGGTGGAGGACTTCTGAGAAGATTTACCCCTGTTGTGTTTGGAGAGGGATGTGGTTGGTGTATCAGATTTAGATGTTTGAGAGGTATCAATATCAGGAGGATTATGATTAAGAGAATCATATCTGTTTTGAGTAGTAATGCCAGTTGGGTTTAGCATAGAAGAGGGGTGAATCTCTGAATGATCATTGGAGTCACCGGTGGGGGAGTTAAGGTTCGGTAGAGTAGTGGTGTACAATTGGGGCGGTGGGTTTATGACGGGAATAGGAATGGCAGAGTTAATTTTAGTTGGTAAAGGATCAAAGGGGATAGAGATACCTACTGCAAAAGAGGGGCTTTCAGTCGGGGGATTAGGGGGTGTAGAGGTTGAGGATAAGATGGGGATTTGCGGTGGCACAAAGGCTAGAGCAGATATGATAGGTGGGTTAGAAGAGGAGGTAGTAGAGGTGGGAAGGGAAGAAGAAGGTTGAACCGAGTTGTGGGAGGAAAATTTATGAGTAGGACGGGATTGGTTATTTATGCGGGGTTGGCAGGGCTGTCGGGTAGAGCTTCTGCCTCTAGCCGGTGGTTGAAAGTCCTGTTGAAATTGAGGATTTTAGGGACAAAGGGAGGAAGCATGGGATAGCGATTTGCAAGTGGAGCAAGGATTGGGACGCCATTCATATTGAACACGTAATCTAATGACTTCTTCCTCTAAAGCAATCAGAATAAAATCTGGAAGAGTAGAGGAGATGGAAACTTGGATACATATGCGTGTATATGTGAGCCTTGTTTTTGCGTTTGTTAAGGCATCCACAGCTAACAGAACACCAATTTTTTAGGCTATTTTGGAGATCCCCTCAGAATTCTAGCAAACAAGGGGAAAGTCGTGGATTTTGACCCAGATAGGAACGGAGGTGAAATTTTCTCTAGTAGGGCGAAATTGTGGGGACCATTTTTGGAAAATGATCGGTTTTACTAGGAAGAACCACGCTCCTTTGGATCATATCATATCATAATCCTCATCAGAGGAGAATTTGAGGAGAAAAAATCATCACTCGAGGCTAGAAGCTAGAATGTACCTTTGAGCTTCCAGATTCTCGTAGCAACAGCAAGAAGAGATTCATAGTAAGGTCTCTTACCAATGGAGTATTCGACAAGGCAGAGGCTCTGTTTCGTGGCCACTGAGGCGATGGCATCTTTGTAGAAAAGGAACAATTTCCTCAGGAGTATTAATGAGGGAAACAAGCAAGTTAAAGATGGGGTTTTCAGGGGAGGCGACAATGTTGGGCCAAAGAGTCTGAGGTAGGGGATGAGACGAGTTCCAAGTGGTTGGAAAGAGGGGGGGGGGGTGGCAGGGAGGTGAAAGTTAAGAGAGTAGGGGGAAGGGTTCATGATGAAAAGGAATGATGTGTGGGGAGAGGGCCAACCGGCAAAGGTCGGAGCCCGGCCAAAAAAGGGGCGGCTAGAGGATGGAGGTGGAGCTATAAAAGAAGCAACTCAGCAATATTTTTACATTCTTCTCTATGCATTTTTTACCTTCTTTTTCTCATATGTCAGCTTTCCATTAATATGATAATATTTTATCACACTTATCATCATGATGCAATATTTATCATTTTCGATCAGATTAAATTTTTATTCATCTAAACATGAGCTTTTCATAAGCTGAAAAGAACAGCTCAAACTGCGGAAAAAAAAAAGTTTTTCTAGATTTGAGAGAATTGTGTAGCCTGGAGTATAGTGGTTCATTACATACCTCTCCAAAAACATTGTTGTATCACTTCGGTTGTTAAACCTAAAATTTGCAGTTAATTCACATAAAATCAATAAATCATGGAAAAAAATATTACATATGATCTTAAAGAGCACAGTCATGTCAACTTCCAATTACCTCGAAATATTGTAGGTATTGAGGTTCCAAAATAAACGGTCCTTCTAGGCAGATTCCATATCCAGGCTCTTGGAACATAAATGGGGTTGTAGCTTGAATAGTGATCAGCAAATACCTGCATCAGAATTGCCCATCAACATTTCAAAATATAGCATATAGACCAGCAGTCTTGAAAGTGGGGTCACTGCTACTTCTTTTGAGCATATTTTCACTTCCTCTAGCACAGTAAATTAATACAAGTTCAGCATCTATTGACCTTTAACACATTTGACTACAAGAACTTTAGGCCATGGTCACAGTTATTATAATTAAAAACCATTTGAGCATTTAATTTCCTCCAAATACCATTTCTTGTTTACTTGCATTCCAATTTCTTTGTGAGATTATAACATTCAAAATTTATTAAAATTGGTTGTAAAAAATTTAGAATATATTATTAAGTTTTAGTATTCGAAATGACTTAGAATTTATTTTATAAAAATAAATGTAATATTAATATGAAGTATAACTCATAATTAATTTAGAAATATTTTTATATAGTTTTGTCACTTATTATTTATTCTGGAAGCATTTTTGATTTAGATATGTGTAATATAAATAAATATAAAAATTTAGATGCTAAATAGATAAGTACGTAAGAATTCTACTACGTTATATACCCTTAATTGTATTGACTATATATATGAACAAATAAACAGAAAATGTATAATATTCAAGTTTTACAATCTTTTTAAATAATCGAGTAACTAAATTAAAATAACATGATACTCTAAGGATAAATTGGCCAATATGGATAACCGGGGGATTATAGTGAACAATCCTGAAAAGTTTGGCTCTTCGATTGAAAAGGATCTTTAAAATGAGATTGTAAACCAATAACAATAGTTTTGGTCACAAAATGTTATTGTTTTCAAATAAGTTTGGCTAAAATGATTTCAGTCAAATTCATTAAAAGTGATGCTAAACGATGGCTCTGTAGACAGGCCTTTTATTTCATTTTTTATTGTCATTTCCGATCAAATTTGACTTTTAATAGGACACAATGGAAAAAAAGGATTCATGTAGCCGACCACGTAGTGGGACAAAGGCTTGATGTTGTTATTGTTGCATTATCATTAATCTTATTCCAACAAGTTCTATCATTAATTCAAACACAATCAGTTGCAATATTGACAATTGTGACAACTAGATGACTTTTAGAGAAATTTCACAAATGCCATAGAGAAAACCGAAACTATTGAACAAAAATTTCATAGTTATTCTAGAAAGAAACCTTACCTCATTAACTTGAAAGTAGGTACCATTAAGTGGAAAGCTTCCCCTCATTGCAGTCCGACAAGGTATCTGTTCATGGTGGTGTTAGGACCAAGAATAACCATAAGGTTTGGCCATTCTTTATGAGGGAAATTGACAATATATTGGCGTATTATTATATAAAACACCTAAAAGGAAAATAGCATCAATTACCAATAGTGTTCCTCGAACTTCATGAGACTCTGCTTCTCGTATACTGTTGCAAGCAAAGCACGTGCTCCTTTCACAAAGTTGATCCGGATCTTGCAAGTTGCAGCAAGTTTTTGGTGGTTCAGTTGACTGTGCCGTCTCACCTGTTAAGAAGTTTAGCTTATTAAGATACAATTGTACTAGCATGACTGTCAATATAGATGACCAGATTGTCTGCAGTATTCTTGCCTGGTGTCCATATAGCAAGAAGGTATGGGCTTGGATCATCAGGCTCCCTTTGGTCCACCTGGCACATTTTAAAGAGTGCCATATGAGCAAAGGAAATGATTGCTATTAATGATCCAAAGAACTACATTTCTTAAACTAGCCATTCACAATGTTGATATTCACAAGTGAGTTAATAGTGATTATATTCTAGTCATTAAGGATATGTATGTAGGAGCTATTACTTGTGTTCAAACACAAGTTGGTTTGACCAAGTATTTTTCTATTTCAGTTGGAATACCTTATGGACCAGCTTTAAGCCCATATCTTTTTTCTTTAGTCATGGATGTTCTTACTAGACATTTCATGTACCCTAGTGTATGCTTTTTACTGTTGATTTTCTCTTTGTTGATAAGACAAGAGAGGGAGTTCAAGAAAAGTTCAATTGTGAAGATCAATCTTAGAGTCTAAAGGTTTTTGTTTGAGCAAATCTAAAATTGAATAAATATGATATAATTTTAGTAGTAATAGATCTAATAGGGGATTGTGACTTTGGGGATATAAAGTCATTAAAAAGAGTACATGTTTTAGAAATTTTAGGTCTATTGTTCAAAGTGATGGTGAAATAGATGAGAATATTATTAGTAGAATTCAAGTTGGATTGTTGAAGTGAGGAATGTGTTCGGCCTATTTTGTGATAGAAAAATACCCCTCAAACTTTAGGAAAAATTCTCTTAAATGGTAGTGAGACCTACAATGCTTTATAGAGCAGAATATTAGCCATTAATAGAGAAGCATAAAATTAAGTTAAGTGTTGCAGAGATGAGGATGGTGATATGCCTTGGAAGCAAAATCAGCGAGAAATCGGAATAAAAACTGCAAGGGATTGAGAAATGGTGGCTGATTTTTTAGATTAATGCTTCAATATGAAAGCAAGATACAATGATCTACAATTAGAGAGGTAGATCAACTCTCCTAAATCACCTAGACGTTGTTAGGATTCCCTCAAAGAAAAGAAAACTACAACAGAAATCAAATCTCACATAATTCCCATAAACCCTAAAATAATCCTTAAATAAGCTCCCTTAATTCCCCCAAAATAGCCCTCTTGGCTTACTTAATTCTCTATCCTGTTTTGAATTTAAATCCCCTCATTAATTCCTTTCCTAATCCTTCTACTCACATTTGAATTATAGGTTTGATAGGCCCCACAAGGGGTGCCGAACTCCCTATTGTTCCCACCCCATTCGCCTGGTTCGGATGGTCCGACCTTTGCTGGACCAGCATGCTGAGTCGACTGCTGCTCCCTCCCGTATCAGATGCTCAGGTAGATGCGTGGCTTCACTCTTAGCGACATAATGGGAAACGAGTTTATACGTGAAAAGGTTGGAGTAGCTCCAGTGGCAACTAAGATTAAAGAGAGTCACCTTAGCAGGTTTGGTCACATAAAATGTCGACTTTCCGATGACCCGTTTAAGAGAGTATATGTGTTAGATTTGGCCTATATTAAGAAAGATAGAAGCATACCATAAAAGACTTGGTTATAAAGTACTAGAGATGACCTTTTTTATTAGATATAAATGAGAATCTAATTCTTAAAAGGACTCCATGGAGAAAAATGATTGATGTAGCCAACGCCACATAGTGGGATAAAAGCTTGATATTGATGTTGTATATAAAAAAAAAAATTCACAACATAACTTTTCTGTTACAAAAGACTTCTCAAGCCCTTTAAACAATAGTTCCCATGGTTTGGATATTCAGCTTTTGAGCTAAGTGCGAAAATTTTCAGACTGTCGCAATCATTCAAATTTTCTACCAAATCAAAGTACCCACATTCAGTAGGTTGAATTTCTAAAACTGAAGATAACAGCTTTATCTTTTTTTCTTGCCGATTTGTATGGCTGCTCTGTTATTTTAGCTCCCAGAGCAACAAGTCATCATAGCACTACAGCATAGTCCGCAATGCTTGAGAGGTGCTTCAGGTAAAGTTGTAGCTTGAATTTCATTCCAACTAGCCTGCCTGACCATTGTCATTTGGAGTAAACTTTACTAAATGGGGAACTTTGTTGGGGATAATTCATTCTAATTGGGAACTTCTCTTTTCAAAAAATGTGAAAATTTCATGTTTTAAATATCCGTATGATTAATAACACCACATCAAATAAGATTGCAGTGGCCAAACCAATAACAAACTCACCCCTTCCAGCAGTGGATGTGTATCTGGAATTTCATATCTGTGAAAATGAACAAATTGAACTTAGCAAGAATGATTAGGCTATGTACTCATTTGACTATTATTACTTCGCAATGTGATAGCACGCGTACACACAAATGTTTGTTTGTGTTAATAAAAAACTAGAGAGTATTAACACATACACTTGATGCTCCGTCCGTAGGCGGCTCACATTTTTCAGCTTGGGCATTGGGATGGAAGTAGCCTCTGGGGTCAAAGCAACCAAAGCCTTTGACAAACTGGCATCTTGGAGCTCCATATTTTCTTCCATATAGTTCCGAATATTCTGTGTGAACTCTTCCAAATTGAGCTTTATTGTAGGAATTTCATCTGGATCTTCATAAAATGCATCTTCAATTGCTCTTTCCAAAGCTTCTGGACATTCTGGTTCTGGTGATTCTGGTTCTTCTACAATAGGCTCACAATTATTCTGAATGGTGCAGTCCTGTGAATTTGAGCTTCCTTCAAGCTGAGGAAGTGGTGCTCGATTTATAAGAGCGTGGCTTTTCTCATAGGCAATTGGAGTTGTGAAACTCACTACTACACTTTTGTCTTCAGGAGCTGGAAGGGCGAGTCTTGCACTGCAACACCATTCCTCGTAAGTTTCCTTTCCAAGTCATTCAAGTAATCGCATTAAATCTTGTGGATTGCTACATATAATAGCTCATTCTAAAAGTCTTTTTTTTTTCTTAAAATATGACTAAACCTTTACCTAAATTATTAAACATCTAAACATATAGCAGATTGAAGAATACTCTTGCCCATAATTTTTACATAATTATTTTATATTAAATTTGATAAAATTTATATCATACTGAAGCAAGCATTGTAACCATCACTAGCCTATTTTTTATGGAATTTTCATGTCTTTAGAAATTATGCTTGTTAAGCTTTGGAGAGATAATTTATCTATAGAGGGTTAGTTTAAACTTTCCCACTTGAGAAATCAAACATATATACCTCGCAAATGCACTTGCAAAATGTTTGCATTCACCTCTCATGGGGCATGAGTTACAATTTGGCTTTCTTTTTGTACAAAAAACCTGCATGAAATGTAAATCGGCAAGTCATATAAAACATCACTGAAATTCCTTATTCAAAATGATCTGATTGGCATCACTTGGTGTGTAACCTTTCCAAAGGTAATCATCTGATAGTGCAGTTCATACCTGTACAGTCAATGATGCCGTCAAGCAAAATATTTAGTATTTAAATAGATCATTAACTAAAGTTTTATCTATCTCATCATGTCAAGTACTCTACTATCACTTCTAAGGTAAGTTACTGAATTTACAGTGTCCGCTGGTCAAGCTTGCAAAGTCGAGGCCAAAGGTACTTCTGAATGGTCGCTAACACGGGATACCTACACAAGAAAAAGAACCAAAGGTACTTCTGAATGGAATTTTTTTTTTTTTTTTTACATAAGCTGAAATCCAAGTATAATCTTACAGCTCCAAAAGGTGCAGTTGAAGGGATTCAGGCAATGGTTGGAGTGGAACCCATCCAAGCCTTACACATATGCGACCAACATTGGTGTCAACCTTGTTAGTCATGTAAAAGGATGGTATGGCAAGTTAATTTGAAATATGCATTTAATTTTCCAGGCTACAAATATCATTTAGAAAGAATACATACTGGAAAAGCTAACTGTTGTAGCGTCAAAAGACGAACACATTCTGCGCTCTTCAGGCCCAATCCTCTTATGCTTAGGAGGTAGTCCCTGAAAATGCAAAATAAATCAACTTTTACGGGAAAAAAGATTTCAAATTCAGTTGTTTGCATTGTCCAATGTGTATAATGCAATAGGAGCTTTTATTACCAAGAGGAAAAGTTTTCATATGTTTTAAAACCCGATATAAAGAACTTAAATGTTAGGGGCCACAATGAAAATGCCTCAGCGATGCCAGAAGTTTGCATTGTTCAAAGCATAATTAAATCTCAGCAGCTGCGGTATTTCGAAGTTATCAAGCAAGGGGAAAAATTGAAGTGGTGGTTTTATCCTTCATGCTGACCAAGGGGGCTGTTTGGTATCGGATTTGCCTCGAGATTTAAGCAGGATTTAAGGTAAATCTAGCCAAATGGTTTTTTGAGGTCACATAAATCTGACGCCCGTGTAAACCTAGGATTTAGGGATTTACGGTGTAAATCCGCCTAAATCTAAATCCCCTCGTTCGGCAGATTTAACAGGATTTGGCCGAATAAGCACGCGAAATAAAGAAAGATAGCTACCTTGGCAACGAACAAGAGCAAGTTTAATTTCTAAATGAACCAACTGCCTTAAATCTTGCATTACGTTGCCAAACAGTTTCTTAGGATTTATCAAGATTTAATATTTGTCATACCAAATAGTTTTCAAGATTTAACACCCTCGGGGGTTTATTAAATCCGGATTTACAGGATTTACTAAATCCCACTAAAGTTAAATCAAATCCACTACCAAACAGCCCCTAAATGCAATTGTTGGTGCCATAGCTATTTGAAAACATATGCAAGTGTTGCTAAAAAAGCGAACAAAAGAAGCACAGAGATCCAGGAACGCATGTGTTGTACTCTGTCAAAATGCATGTCGTTGCTCTTACTTGACTTTATCTGGTGGAACATCTCTTAACCACTCAAGGTCTATGCTTCCATGGTCTCTAACAAGTCGATTCAGAAACTCCTGCAGTAGGACGAAGAACAATGAACAAATATAAATAATAGTACCCATCCAACTTGTTCCTCCAATAATAAGAATGGTTATGTTTGTTTCTGTATTTCTGGTAATGTGTACTTTAAAATACTTTTCTGAAAAGTCAAACGTCTCTGTTTAAAAAAAATTACTCTAAATAGAAAAACTATCGATCTATAAAATGGGAATGTCACCCAAATTTGCGAATTTCATTATCTGTTTTAAAGATTACCTTGATTCTCTCTGCCAGTACATTATTCATTCCACGTTCCCGGATGGTTTCAGCAATCTTGCTAACATCTGCAATCCTTACTGCTTCCCAATCTAGCGAATCCATAGTGGTGCTACTTCTCTCTTGTGCTGGTTTAGTATAAAATACCTCTTTCCTCAAGCTCTCCCAGTCATAACTATCATTTTCAACTTCATGTTTTCGTTTCCTAGTTTTTGCTGCAGAAATTGGTGTTTCTGGTGAAACTATTGGAAAACTGCAAGTTTCAGCTTTCAGATTTGATCCAGCTTGGTCAGACACATCCAGATTACGCTCTATTTTGTTATTTGAGACTGATTTTTGCTGGATTCTGCATGTCTCTAATTTATCCGGAGCTTGAACTGCATTATGAGTTATTTCTGCTTTGAATATTGAGTTTCCATCTTTCTGCTCTGGATTTTCATTCTTTGTGGCATCTATGATATCTTTTGCCGTGTTTTTATGATTACCAGAATACAGATAAGCATCGACTTCCATCTGCGTAGTTAGCTTGCTTATTGTCACACATGAATCAATATTTGTTGCAGTTTTAGAAGATGACAGCATCTTATGAAGATTGGTAGATTCAGCCACACTTCCTTCTGATTCACTACGTTTTTTGCTCATTACCTCAAATTCATCACCACTTATTATTTCACAGCTGGTTGAAAGTAAATGAGATCTAATATCTTTTAAGAAATTGTCATTGTTTACCATGATTTTGGAGTGAAAGACATCATCAAATTGGCAAAGCTCTGTAGGAGGCGACATATCTGATAAACCAAGTACTGCATCATGGAGACTGTACTCAGCATTCAATGCTTGGTAGTCACCATTGGAGTTATCCAATTGACTCCAAAGTGATGAATTCTTTTCAATTGTCGGGTTTGACTCTTGATTTTTAGTTGCCGAAATCATTCCACTTTCGCGACTGTAAAACTCCTCGAAACTGCGGCTTTCTGCTATCTGAAGAAGTTTTGTAAATGAAGAATTGCCTATGGCATCATTGCTTCCACTCAATAAATCATCTTCTTCAAGATTTAAAAATGAGTTTGATCCAATATGTTCATTTGATGGAACATGAAACCCCACGGAGTTCTGAGATGAAACTGCAGAATTTTGGGATGTGTCAGCATCTTCCGACAATTTTATATTCTCCATTTCTGCTAGGTTTGTACCAGATCCACTAATAGTTGATTTTTGATATAAAGTTGCCTCTTTTTCATGTAAATATGAATTTTTTCCTTTACCTTTTTGTCTAGAGTAATAGGTAATGCTACTTGTGGTAATGCTCCCAACTGTTTCACTACAATTGCTGGTTTCCTTTTGATCCCCATTTTCAGCAACATTAACTTCCCAAGAACATTGCAATGAGCCATGATCCAATATGTTCCTTTGCAATTTCGGAGTGTCGATAAATGATATGATGCATCCGTTTTGGCTCTCTGTGGATATGCTTACCTTTTCTCCATTTTGTACACTACATTTGCCTCTTGATAGAGGGAAATTTGCAGCAAGGGCCATGAATGCAGAGCTGTGAAAATTAGTTATGATCAGTGGGTATTACTCCAATGACTGTCAATAGTTCAAAAGGATGTGAACCAGATGTTCAATGAAAGAAAGAACATGGTGAATGACGCTCCAACATATTTTCCAAATTACAATTGACCTTACCTTGATAGATGATCTGACACATTCTGTGTAAGAAAGACACCAACAACTGAATCTACAACTGAACCCTTCCATTGAGTGAAGCGCCTATCCCCTGAAATTTTTTGGAAGAAAAGTGGTGCAATCACAAATTATTATTAGTTATTTTGTTTATACTAGTCCAAATAAAGAACATTCATAAAGTTTTCCCATGCTGTCCAAGAGTGCTTCAAACTTCTAAAAACAATAACTAAAATATGGAATTACTAATCATGCTACTTGGAAGATTAGGTAAGCTTTAATACCTTGAACAAGATGCATTCGAGCAATAAATGAATCTACCCGTCCTCGGAAAACTCTCCTTTCGTCGACCCACCACTTATCTTTATCAACATCTGAATGTTCATGAACATCCCCACTGCTGCAATCTTTTCCCATCAAAAGCTTCCAAACTTTATTCGACTCTGGATCCAAATCAACCTTAGCCCGAGGACGTGGTCTCTTAATCAGATGGAAATTTCTCTCGTAGGTAACCATCATACCCCCATGACCAACATATGGAACTACTGCATTTGGTGCTTGATAACTGGAAACTTCATCACAGCTTCTTATGCTAAGACATCTTAGTTTTTGTACAATATCATCCAAAGGATTCTTAAAGGGAACTAATGTTCCTAAGGAAATGTTGGAAGGAGCTGAGACATTATAATAGCAAGAACTGTGGCAGTCTATTGAAAATGTTTCAGGATTTAAATTCTTCCCATTCATACTTTTGGTGGACAAAGAACCTCCCTCAACAATATTTTTTTCTGGAAGGGAACCAATGTTGTAATTCTTCTTCTTGGATGGCTTGACAGGAGATAACTTCCTGCTGGAACACCTAGAGCTACGTAAGGAGGCCTCACCGGTTCCTAAAGCCGGATGGTTTTGTACATACCGTTCTGCTTGGTCAAAAGAAAATATGTTCCTTGAATCTTGCACCTTATCTTGGTTCATAAACCTTTGTGAACGTGCAAATGTGAAATCCTGCAAGCTATTTGACAGTTGCTTTATCTTCCAAGTGTTTGCTGAAGTGCATATGAATTTACGAGAAACATTAGGATTTTCTTCATTATCGCCCCTGTTTTCCATTCTTATTCTTTTGTGAATCCTCATTGTGCATGAGTCTTTTCTCTCCGCATCATAGTTGTTGCTGGAAAAGCCTCGAAGATTGTACGAATGCATGATTGTTTTTTGATCTGACACCCTAGCTGCATCAAAGGGAAGGTGAAACTTTTTGGTTTCTTTCGGTGGAGCATCAGAGATTCTGTTGGGATTGAAATTCCTCTGAGCAACTTCTGAGGAGCTTTGAGAATTGACAGCAGCCAAGTCCAAGCAAGCAGTTTCCCTTGCTAGTGCCTTGAAATGTTTTACTGATGACTTTAAAAATGGCATTTGTTTATTTGAAGCACACATATTTTTGTTTATTTCAGCAGGTAGTACCGGAATTTGTAACAATTTTGAGCACTCATTCTTTGACTGATATGGTGAACTACTAAGGTCAGAGACGGAGACGGTACCTGCTGATGGTTTCACTGCCACTTGATATTGTACTCTGATGGAATCTGTTGTTTCTTTCATGCTTGAACTTGTTACAGCACTTTCATCACATTCGTCTAGAACAGGAGCTCCAAGTACCTTATTAAACATTGGCATTGCATCTGAGTATTCATTGAATGCCTGTTGTCCCTCGCCATCAAAGTTCAGGCACCTTCTCACAGATTTTGCCTCTCCCTTGCTTTCTGCATCAACAATCTCTTCCAGTGCATTCTCTGGAGACTGAGTCACATCCTTCTTTCTCCGGGAATATTTCTTTTTGAAAGAGGTACTTCCTTTCTGTCCCCTTTGTTCTTCTGTCTCTGGCTGAAGAGTGGCTGACTTAGGTGTTCTTGAAGGCTTTCCTTCGTTGAACACTTTTGGTCTGTGCTTTTTCCTCTGTGGTCTATTCTTCGGAGTTACAACATTCAAGTCAATTCCAATATTCTTTCTCTCAATGATGCTCTTTTGAACCTCTATGGGCTTCTCAGAGGCCTCTTCTGAGAGCACAATTATGTCCTTACCACTCACAAGCTTCTCCAATGTCTGCTGAGATGAGGAAACCTCCTTTGCCATCAAATTTTCTTCTCTTGCCCCCTCTGTAACTAAGACAGTTACTTCTGATGATGGCTGCTTATCATGCATCCTTTTGTAGAACCTTTCTGTGGTTGATGGGGTTGCCGGAGCAGACATGGTCATTGTCTTAGAAACACTCATTGTGCTTTCTGGTAATGAATCATAATTAGGAAGGGAGGTGATAGGTATACTATCTGCGAGGCTAAGAAAACAGGAATCAGAATCTTGGGTATATTTACTTATACAAAAGTACAAAACTAAACGGCTTTCTTATTGCTTCCTAAAACAATTTTTTAATAATAAATTAAAACTTTTGTATTAGAAAGCTGCTATAAGAACAGTAAGAAAGTCGTCCCAAACAAAGCCTAAATGAAATGGAGCATGCCATTAAAATATTCTCACTCTACTTTTTGTCTACTGCAGCAGCAGCAGCAGCTACTCGCCTACTAGAAAGACTTGCAGAAGCAATTAATGACCTTACCCTTGAGCAACAATTTGTTTTGGGGAGAAGGCATCTCCTGGTGATCGCCAATCTGCACCAACAAGGGAGGACAAGGTGACACCTTGCTTGTTCCAGCCACATTGAAGGCCACATTAACATTGTGACACAGTAAAGGTGACCAGCATTCCAAGGAATAGTGATTGCCTTTGAAATCTTGCGGTTGGCTGGGAAGGTCTGATGAACTAGAGCTTCCATGCTGGCTTGTAAGTCCCTGTGGAGTTGCAGTGTCTTGAGCTCCATTGGCCACCAGCACAGCTGGTTTAAGCCAGCTTGGCCCAGGAAGCTGAATCTTCTGGCTACTTGCTGGAACGGTTTTCGCCGGTGTTGTTGGTACCCATAGTTGTTGGACCTCAAAATTTTGTTGCTGCTGCTTCAATGTCAGACCTTTGCTCAAGTCCATAGCAAGCTGAAGATCACCAAAAGATAGAACAATTTTGAAGTGATAGATGACAAAAAAAAGTCAAATTTATACTGATACTTTGTGCATTTACTTAGCTGAATCAAGTCCAAAAGAATTTGATTTCGAGAAAACCTTTCGCAAGTTACAGTAAAAATGTCAGTGTGGTATCAATTAAATAAGTACTTGAATAAGCTCCAAGCATTGACAGCTTACACAGAAGACTTGAATAAGCTCCAAACAGTGAGGGAATATATTTATATATAAATAGAGTGAGAGAGATAGAAAAGAGAGGAGAGAGAGAGAGAGAGAGAGCTTTAAAGTAAATAATTGAACTCATTTCGTAGTCTTATCGAAGTCCACCTCGCTTTAACATCTACTGAAACCATTGCGATCATCCATTTTGGTAAATAACTACTTACATATATATAACAGAAATAATAACGGGAAAAAAAAAAGATTCGGGAAAAAAAAAGTCACGGATCTCACCTATTAGGAACACAAATCAATCAGGTTTTCTTGAAGGAAGAAATGATTGAGCCCACGCACCTCAAGATTGAGCCCAGCAGCTTCAAAAATTCAGCAATGCAGAATATAGCTCCGCACAAAATAGCTAGCTTCAGCTTCCGAAGTCTATCATCTCCGCCTGATCAGGGATCAGCGCCTCAGCGGCCTCGAAATTACCGGCGAATAGAAAAAATTGGGCAGTTCAGCCACCGATCGCCTTTTCTCAGATAAAAATGGGGAAAAGGATTTTTCGCCGTACAACGAACAAGCCCCCTCTTTTGAAGAAGTTGGTGCTCGCCAGAGACCCTCAAAGTAGTCGCCGGCGGTAGGAGGAGCGACAAATTTCCGTGAGCCTGCGAGGAGCTCTTCCACCCCTGAACCTTTTTTTTCACAGCAACACCGACATTTTCAATATTCCTAGTTAATCACCACAACTACTGTCGACGATTAGCCTCCTACACATTTTGGGATGGAAGAAGAGGCCATGAATTGGTTCCAGAGAGCTCATGGTCAGAGAAGGAAATATCTTGAGGCGCAAAAAGCAAGAAATTTTACAAAGCCCAGTGAAAGGAAGATAAGAAAGAAAATTGGATGCACAATCGTACACTCCTAGCCTGATTTTGCTTTATTTTTACAGTGGCACTGGCTCACTGCCAAGAGCTCATACGCACACACAGTCTCTCTCCTCCCTTCCCTTTTCTCAATGTCTCTCTCTCTCTCAGGAATCTTAGAGAGGAACAAAGCCAAGCGTTTGGTAGAGTCAAGAACCACATGGATTACTTTGGTTTGGTTGGACTTCAAATTTAAACGGGTCCTGTTTTGAATTTATTATTTTGTGTGGAGTGTAGAGAGCATCTGGAGATCAATAAAAATAAGTCACATCACTTTATTGCTGAGTATCCAGCTCGTTACCCGCACTCGGTACGCTGGATACCCAGTGCTTAACCGGACGGTTCTCACATCCAGTGTCCGTACAGAATAAAAGCTCTCAGTTTTGGTTCCCCCAATCTTGAACTTTTTTTTTGGACATTTAGGTCATTTAAGACAAACTTACATACACAATGCATACATAAAGACTCGAATCAAATAACTAGCATAAACTCTTAACTAATAGATCAAGATGAGCTATGTCTCCTCTTGAACTTGGTTCTTTTCTGCTTTCTGAAAGCTGCACACAGCAGAAGAAATAATTAATACTCTTATTTCAGTATAATGTTTATCCATTTACCAGCTTCTGACAGACGCTAGCCATTTGCCCTTATTTCCCCATTTTGTGGAGCTTTTTTAAGGCAAAGTAGATCTTGAGGAGGCTAACTGTATTATTTATTTATTTTAGAATTCATAATTTTAAATCTTTCCCTTATTGGCTTGTCTCTTTCCTTGGACGGCCACGCTACTTTTGGTTTGCATCCCTCTGGCCTGGCAATACTTTCTAGTTGCACCTGTTGATTGTCTTGCTCCTTTTCTTAGTTTTGTTGGGCTTCCTGTTGCTCTCGAAGCATTTTATTCAGGGGCGGAACCAGTCCTAATTTTTAGGGGGGCAAATTTATAAGGCATATATGTCGGGGGTCCAAAGGGTCAGCGTCCCATGGCAGGGTTCGATCTGTTGGGGGCAATTACCTAAATATCATAGTATTTTAAAATTTTTAGAGGGTGCAATTGCCAAAAAAACCCTTGTAATAAAGACTAAAAAATGGATGAAGAGAAATAAATTATCTAAAAACCATATAATTTAAAAAAAAAAAAAAAATTGAGGTGGGGCAATTGCCCCCCCTACCCCAATGGGGTTCCGCCCATGATTTTATTGCTTATGATATTAGCTTTCTTTAAGAGAAAACTAGGCAAAAAGAGAATCAGAAACAATTCGGACTTAGCAAAAAGAAAGCTAATAAGTTAAAACTTATTAGCTTTCTTTTTGCTAAGTCCGAATTGTTTCTGATTCTCTTTTTGCCTAGTTTTCTCTTACAGAGTTTTTTTATTCTTTCCTTTTAATTTTGTTTTGTTTCTTCTCCTGTATTTGAGGTATAGATGTGTTTTCGGGCTTTGCCTCCAATTTCTCCAAAAAAATTACTTATTGTTGTTATGTGAAAATTAAGACAAGACGGCAACATGGGCCCAACAAATATCCCCATCAAATAATAGATACTAAAGTCATATGAGATAAAAAAGGAATATATATATATTGATATGACGAGGTCGTTATATTAGTTGAGTTACTTTTCTGACAATTTCCAAAAAAAAAGAAATAAACTTTTTTGACATGAAAAATAATTAAAAACTTTGATTTTTAGAAGAATCCTTATGAATTTTTTTTTTAAATTTTAATTAATCAATCTACCAATATATATATAGTTATTTATTTATTCATGTAGCTTGTTTGTTCCTAAGCTGTGAATAGTATGAGGTATCATCTTTTATGTATTTATATGAACTATATTACTATTTTACGTGGGAGGATAAATATTTTAAAATATTTTTTTTTTCTAAAGAGGTGGAAATTATGGGTTTATAACCGGCAGGATTATTTTATAATGTAAAAACTGTAAGTGCTCCTTGCGATGATTACGAGAGTCACATCAGGAATAAAAGTTTGGAAAGGTCAATCAGAGATGTTGCATCGATTTACAAAATTTTAAGAAAAACAAAAAAGATTATGGCCCTATTTGATTTTGCTTTCCCTTCCTTCAACTTTTTTTTTTTATTATTTTTTTATTTTTATACTTTCCTCAGTTGTGATGGAAGGGTTGTAGATTATTATCTCATTTATATCTGTTATTCATTACTTGATTACTTCTTTGTGTACTTACGAAAATGATACAGTCTTTACTTTACTAATTTTATTAAAAATATATTAATTAATTATCATGAAAGTTGTAGAAAATCATTAGGCTTACACAAGAGATTATAAGCAATAAATAAATTTTGAGTAACGTTATGCTTTTAATTTTGAGCAATGTTTTACTTTCCTTTCGATGATCCGGTTAAAAAAATAGAGGTAGGCCTAAAAAGATTTTGTTAGAAAATATTATAAATGATATTTATTTATTAGATTTAATGAGAATTTGATTTTTAACAGGACATAATAGAGAAAAATGATTCATGTAGCTGACCTCACGTAGTGGAACAAAGACTTGATGATGTTGCTATTGTTATGCTTTAAATTTTGATGAATTTGTTATAGCAAATCTAAACATTAAGCGCTAAAATTCAATATTTTTTTTTTTATTTTTTAAATTACAAATCAATGCCGATAAAAAAATAATGAAAGATTATGATTTTGTTAGAGACTGATTTTTTACTATTTTGAGAAATTGTTATAGAGAAAGTAATTTTTTAAAGCATTTGTAAAAAATAGTTTCGTATTACAAATTAAAAAAATAATAATAATGAAAAAATATTGATCAAATAAAATTTTGATTATAATAAATAAAGTAGTAAGAAAATTGTCCCCTAAATTAGGAGAAAATATTCTTACAGAAATCCTCTAAAAATTTCAGTAGTTTGGGCTTAGTAATTTGCATAAAAAATTGAATTGTTGGCCTTTATAGGCTCCAATCAAGCCACCTGTATCCATTGAACAGTCTTGAGGGATGAATTATTTTGTGCGGACGTCAAATGTCGTCCAGAGTCCAATAAATATGTGCCAATTATCCCATATTCGATATCACGGCTCGATATTGTTCTGTAACCGAGCATTATACGACTCAATATCGAGCTCTGTACGACTCAATATTGAATGACATGACTATAACTGATTTATCTCCGAATGATAAGCTATGTACGCACATAATAACCTCTCATCTTTTTCCGTATAGACAAAATATTGTTGTATGACATATCAACATCACATTAAATAAAGAATTAATCTGCTACGGCATCCTTTTTTTGACGCCTCGTTCAGCGTGAAAGACATCTACTTTGAATTTTGATTATTGTTTTGGAAAAAATGTTATTTGTCAATTCCCTCACGGAGTTTTTTTTTTTAATTAAGAAATTGAACTTAAAATTTTATTTTGAAGATAAAAATAATACCAGTGGTGCTTTTTTTTTTTGGAACATTTATTTTTTTTTTTTTTATAAAATCAAACTTTCACCGAGGAGGGCTCTTATTGTACTTTCGATCATATTAAATTTAATTAAATTAGTATTCTTGTTTAAATAATATATCATTTAATAAAATAAAATAAAACCAATAAATATTAATTAATTTAATTAATTAAAATAATAATTCTTAAATTTAATGTATATACAATTTCTATTTTAATTTTAAATAAAAATATATATTCTAAAAGAAATGAGAAGACAGGTCGGAGCTAAAAATATATTAGAAAAAAAAATGTACACAACTGAATGATGAGATCATTATAAGAGATTTGTAAATACAATTAAATAATTAGCATTTAAGGCACTCTTGTGATTTGGAACAATTATTACGTCCTCTGACCTGACGTAGAGCTACGTTTGGCCGTCAATAACATGTCGCCACGTGCTCTTACTCTAAACCGCGCGGCCTGACGACTTGACCCGGAGCGGAACCCGGAAAATTAAAGCAACAATAGCTACATGGCCCAATCAACAAGACATTTATTTGGTCCAGTGAACGTAACGTTCCCTCTACGTTCGGCCACCATGCATTGGCACGAGAGAAAGAAGATAGCCGAGCCCGAACCCGTATGTATTTTGTAAGTTATCTCGCGACTTTTTCCCGTTTTTTTAATACATTGACGGCAAGCCGAACAAACAATCCCCATCGCCCTTTTGGAATATATTTCAAAGCATAGCAATACCGAGTTGTACCCAGTTTTTCTAGCAAATTATCCGAGCAAATACCTAGCAATACCGGAGCAAATCCCTAGCATACAAGCAAATCCTGAGCAATACCTGAGTTGTACCGAGTTGTACCGAGTTTGTACGAGTTTTTCTGATAGCAAACTAGCAAGCCTTAAATATCCCTAGCAATACCGAGCAAATCTGTAATCAGTTTCTTGCAATTACGAGCCATATACCTAGTACCGGCAAATCCTGAGCTAAAATTACTGAAGGTTTGTACTGAGTTTTTTTCTAGCAATACCGAGCAAATACCTAAGCAATAACCGAAGCAAATCCCCTGAGCAAATACTGAAGTTGTACCAAATTGTACTTGAGTTTTTCTAG